CCGCCGCCACAGCCGCCCGCCTCCTTCAGCCGGCTGGCTGGCACCTCCTCAGCTCCGCGCTCAGCCGCCTTTCTGCCCCGCAGCAGCCGGCTCAGTCTACAGCAGCATGTTCAGCTGGGTGAGCAAGGATGCCCGCCGCAAGAAGGAGCCGGAGCTCTTCCAGACGGTGGCGGAGGGGCTGCGGCAACTGTACGCGCAGAAGCTGCTGCCCCTGGAGGAGCACTACCGCTTCCACGAGTTCCACTCGCCCGCGCTGGAGGATGCTGACTTCGACAACAAGCCCATGGTGCTCCTCGTGGGCCAGTACAGCACAGGCAAGACCACCTTCATCCGGCACTTGATCGAGCAGGACTTTCCCGGGATGCGCATCGGACCTGAGCCCACCACCGACTCCTTCATCGCGGTCATGCACGGCCCCAGCGAGGGCGTGGTGCCAGGCAACGCGCTCGTCGTGGATCCTCGGCGCCCCTTCCGCAAGCTCAACGCCTTCGGCAACGCCTTCCTCAACAGGTACCCATACTTTCCCTCGGCGGCGCGAGGGCCTGTCAGGCCAGGACCTGCACTCGGGGAGCGACCCTAGCCCCTGCTACCGTCGCCCCTGCAGTTCTTTGTCTCTGAGTCCTCAGCCAGACTGTGGGGTGACCACTCCCAGGGACACGGTCCCTGTCGCGCCACGCAGAAAACCCTTTCCAGCCCACCTGGGGGTCTGGGAATGGCCATCGTGGGCTCCTCAGGCGTCTGATGCCCTCACGATCTTCCCGGTTACCAGTTAAACTCCCAAACCCTCCCGCAGTACCCAGCCCCACTTTGCACAGAACCGGGGACCACATTCAGGAAGCTGAGCCATAGAACCTGCCCTCATGTTTTTGTCTCCACTTCCTTTCCTAGACTGGATGCACCTAATTTCATTCACATCAACCCCTGTGGGTATCTGTATCATAAGTATCCCTAGGGAAAACCCTACCCTTGGCTTGGTGTGTTTCTGCTCTGCCTCTTGGGACCTGTGGTTTTGTGTAGAAGAGATAAGGAGGTTCTGCTATGGCCGGCTGACTTTGGGGCAGCCCCTTGCTGGGAGGCAATAGACCTGGTCTGAACTCTTCTCCCCAAGGAAGCTCTTAATGGGTCAGTGCTGCTCCAGGGGCTTCAGGAGTCTGGCCCTGGGAGCCCTGAAATGAATTTTAGGCCCCAAGTCCCCCTGTAGACTCAGTAGGAACTTCCTTAACCTACTCTCAAGTTCCCTCAGTTAAATGGGTGAGACTTGCCTCATCCTAATTAGAGCAGTCCTCCCTCTCAATGACAGAGCTTACCTCTCTCTAAAGAAACTCTAGGCATCCTGCCCCCAAGAGACATACCACAGGCCTTCCCTCCTGCTCCCTCTTTCAGGCAGGGAGTCCACATGCCTTTGAAGTCTGAAGTCTGAGTCAGGGGAAGCGCCTAGGAAAGAATCTGAACCCTGCCTTCCAAGTCTCCACCCCTGGTGATCACATTCCTTTCCAGACACTGTCCAGTACGAAGGGCAGGCTGCTGGCCCTAGAGCCCAGCTAGTTCAGGCCAGGCCTGCCTGTGTCCTAACATTCAGTGTCTGCCAGTTCCAGCCATCCAGCCCGTCCTTCTGATTTTTTATGCTGATCGTGTTTGCTGTCAGGGTCCTTTGGGCTGAGTGAGGCTGCTGAAAGGTTGGACCTCTTAGCCCGGAGCCACTCATTCTCTAAGGATATCATACAGTACTTGTGTTTTAGCTTGGTATCTGCAGCGTGTAGGTGGGGCAGCCTTTCATTCTGAGGAGCTGGAATCCTTTGCTGGAAGGTCCACTCATTAGGTCTCTTCTCCCAGGCAGAACTTTGGGTGTGATCAGAAGGGTGACTGTCCTGACCTCTATTGTGCATAGGTCCTCACTTGATTGTGAGGGCAGATCCTTTGTGAAAGGAGAAACGGCACTTGGCCCATTTTCTGCCTTTGGAAGCCTAGAGTTTCAGTGCTGACAGGATCTTAGATACCATCTCAGCAGCCTCACCTGATCAGCTCAGAGGGTCCAGCTGACGGGTCAAGGCCACCCATTAAGTTAAGCCAGCACCCACTGCTACTTCTGCTTGGAAAGAGAAGAGTTTTGGAAACCTGGGTCGGAGACTGGTACCTTGATGGTGTGTGGACCACCAGTTCCAAGAATCCTGCTTTCACGTCCTTCTTGCCATCACTGCATCTCCAGAGGATCCCTGAACACTGACAGCCCTGCCAAGGAGGCCTTACTAGCCAGAGCTGAGGCCCATGCTGTGTCAGGATGTGTGGAGCACAGGGTGCCGCCTGCTGGGGAGGGCACAACAAAAAGGGCTTTTCTGTGGCCAATTCAGCCTCTCCCAGCTCTATTAAAGAGACCCATTGAGTCATGAACTTGCCTTTCCAACCTTTTTCCCATGAATGGCTGCTGTGAAAATGCAGTCTAATAGAGCAGCTCCAGGTAGGGCACAGTCAGGGAGTCCTGAGAGTGGCTCGTTGCACAACCGGCTCTCCCACTTGTAGAGTGAGATGGAGACAAATGAGGTGTGAGGCATCTGTGCTGCCTGTCACACTCCCTGGGCTTGGCAGAGCATCCTGTCTCCACATCCTGCAAACGCTCCCTTGCTCAACAGGCCCCCTTTACAGGACATTTTCATGTATGTTTTTTCTCAGAGACAGTTCTGCTTCCATTCCTTTGCTTCTGTCATCCTCTCTGGTAAGTCCCTTCCTGCATAGGAGCTCCAACTTGGGCATGCAGTGACATTGGGCAGGCATGCTCTGGGCTGGGCTGGTGAGGACGAGGTCCATGGTTTGCTCACTGTGCAGGTTAGCTCGCTCTGCTGTGCAGAGAGCACCTGTCATGCTGTCTTGCTGCCCCAGCCTGTGGGCTACTGGTCACTTGGGGGCTGGGGCCACAGGAGAGTCTAGTCATCCCTGAGACCTCGCCACCATTGGAAGGGCAGCTTTGAGCCTGCATCCTACAGACAATGGGTCTGTATTTCCTTTGCTCACAATACCTTTTTCAGAGAAGTTTCTAAAGGATCCTTTTCTGTGTTCAGTAAAGAATCGCTGCTCTCAGTTGATTTTGTTTTTGTTTTTGGTGCTGGGCATTGAACTCAGGTCCTTGTGCTTGTGAGGCAGGCAACAGAGCTACTGAGCTAAATCCCTGGCCCTTTGCTACTCTAGATTGAGACAGCCCCTAGGCTGTTCTCGAGCTGGCTTCTCTGAGTTCTGGAATGGAGGCCTAGCTGCACGGTCAAGCACCCTGCACCACCAGGTTCAAGACTGTCTGCACCTTTGTTCTTGTGCCAGCTTTGACTTTCAGAGAATGTCTGTGCTTCCCTCTCTACCATCAGCCAGCCTGTGTCGTGCCCCCAGCTTTTACCAGTGGCCTATCACAGCCCCTTCACCCAAGCATCTGGGTCAAAGGGGGGAGGGCTGACCCAGCAGCAATGGGACAAGATCATCTCTCTTCTGTGTGTGGGGATTCAGCCAAGTGGCTGGACATTCTTTCACGGAATTATGGGGTCCCCATGTCAGGCTTCTGTTTCCTTTCTGGAGTCACTGGTGGCCTAGGCTTACCCAGCTTTCACTAATAAGTCACCAACCTGGAAGTTGAACTCTGGAACTCTTGAGGGAAAATAAGCATGAGAGAAGTGCTGCTGTGGGTCCTCTGGAGACCTCTGGCTACATTTCCAGTTGAAGGGGGTCTGATATTTAGGGTGTACAAGTGTGGTCTGTGGTAGAGCATGTGCTTAGCATGTACAAGGCCTTGGCTTTTAACCCACCCACCCAACCCCCTCCAAAAAATTTTTTTCCACTTTGCTGGCCACCCTGGAAATCAGGATGATAGGAAACAAAAAACCAGGGTGGGGGCAGAGGAGGACCAGAGCCCTCCTGTGGCATCAGAACAGTGAGGACTCTGTCCTGACAGCTCTCTTTGGCTGTTCTCTCATGCAGGTTTATGTGTGCACAGCTCCCCAACCCGGTCCTGGACAGCATCAGCATCATCGACACTCCTGGGATCCTGTCGGGAGAGAAGCAGCGCATCAGCAGAGGTAAACAGGCTCACCTGGACCTGTGACAGCCCTATCTGATATCTGTGATGCTGCCCTTAGGCTTTTTAAAAAAAGAAAAGTGTCCATGTGAGAGAGCGGGAGCTACTTTCTTCCTCACCTCCCTCTGCTTAGGTGACAAGAGCCCTTTCCCCTTGGTAGATTGCTTTTGAACCCCTGAGGCAGGTGGAAATAGGGCAGGTGAGGCTCCAGGCCATGCAGTAAAGTGGGAGGGAACTGGCCAATGTCCCAGCCATCACTTCTGACACCCAAGGAGCACCTGCCTAAGTTTGCATTTGAGAACTTTGCTTTCCAGCAGGACTGAGCCCACCAGGCAAAAGGAGAAACTAGCAGAACCGCTTTGGGGCAGTTGAAACTGTTTAAATTTGCTTAGCTCTTGCTAGTCAGCAGCCTCTCTGGGGCTGTGTACTGAGGGCCTGAGATTTTCCTGCTGAGATTTGCTGCTGCACATTAGTGATCTGGGCCCTGTTCCAGCTGTGTCAAGTCCTCTCAGTTTTGCATTGCTTTTTGAAAATCTGATTCCAAGTGAGTGTGGCCTGGGTCATGCCTCTGCCCCTATCCCTCTGGAGTAGGCTGAGCACTCACTGCAGGGCCTTCTGGCATGGGTGGAGCCTATAGCTGCAAAGGGAAAATGAAAGACTCAAGGAGAGGTGGAGGACCAGGGGCCAGGTTCACTTATCTTTAACTTGTATATCTTTCCTATGTCCCTTGCCCTCTGGACCGCCCTATTGTAGGTAGCCTTTCAGTTAAAACCAGCAGTGTGGGATTTGGAGTCTCTGCTGCAGCATGAGGGGGCCGGGCCTTTTGTCTCTCTCTCTCTCTCTCTCTGTCTCTCTCTCTCTCTCTCTCTCATTACTGGAGATTGAACTCAGAGCCTCTGGACTAAGCTACATCCCCAGCCCTTTGTTTAACTTTTTATTTTGAGACAAGGATCTCAGAGTTGTCCAGGCCGAACTTGAATTTGTGATTCTACCACAGCCTCCCAGAGTGTTAGTATTGTAGATGTGCTACCACACCCAACTCCTACTCTCTCTCCAGGCTGTGGACCCTGGCCAGTGTGGCATGCGATGGGCTGGTACATGCTAAAAGTCTGTCTCCACGCAGGGTTGAAAGCTGCTACGTAATGCTTTTAGGCTCCCCCACCCCAGTGTTAGAGACAGTCCTGGGAGTTCAAGGTAACAGATTTGAGGACCCCTTCTAAAAAAGCCAGAGCCAGTTTTCTTCTTTCTTCTTTCTTACTGCTATTGTTGTTCCTACTTGGTGTTAAGAAAATGCCTGATAAGCCAAAGCTCTGTCAATTGCCAGTGCAAGGCCAGACAATGTAAATAAGTTACTCTTAAGCTGAAGTTAACACAGGGCAACCCATTCAGGACCCCTCCTGTCTCTCAGAAGCTATTCTTATTTCCCACTCCTGTTCCCCAATAAATTTTCCTGCTCTTAAAAAAAAAAAAAGCTAACACTAAGCCTGCTGTGGGCTGAGTAATCCTGACTCTTGTATGAGGCCTGTAGCAGGGGCCCTCAGATAGACATTGAGGCCCCAGCTGGCCCACATGGCTGGTGTGTTCATAGACTTGGATAAGGAAGTCAATCACCAGAAGAGGCTTATCTTGCCAGAGTGCCCCTGACTGTGTGGCATTTGAGACCAGAGTGAAGGTATTGCAGGGAAAAGGTTTGAGGTTCTTAGAGCCGCTGTTGACTCATGAAAAGAAACTCCGCAGCAGCTGTTTCCCTTAGGTTGCCTGAGGTTCTGCCCCAGCCCTGTGTCCTCAGAGCTTAGCAGGCAGCTTGGACTGGGATTGCTGGCCCCGCCTGCTGGGATGCATCCCTCCCCACTTCATTTCCTGTTGGAAAAGAGACGTGGGGCAGCATATAAATTTGATCTCTCTGGGACAAGGTAACAAAGCGATCCTTCTGTCACCTTGGCAGTGAGTTTTGGTGGGGACAAGAAGACATCAGGATGCTAGGCGGTGCCAGCCCTCAGGTACCCTGTGAGAAGACATGTGAGGAACAGGCCAGCAGGAGATGCCAAGGCCTGCCTGATGGGGCCCTGCAGCCCGGTTTCCCATCTCCACAGAAAGCTTCCCTTGCATCCTGGGAGAAAGGAGCAGGGTGCCAAAAGGTCACTGTGTCCCTTTGATTGGAGAAGGACTTTAGCTCAATAGTGAGCTCAAACCAATTTTTTTTTTTTTTTTTTTTTTTTTT